TATTATTATTCCAGGCAAGGGGAACAACCAGTGAAAATGCAGATTCAGGAGATAAAGTGTCTGCAAGGAACAGTAAGAGGGTGAATGTCATTGAATTGTAGAGCATGTGGAAGAAAGAGTAAGGTATGATAAACCAGGAAAGTAAGAGGAGGCTAGACTATGAAGAGCTTTGAAAACCAAGCAGATTTTTAGATTTGATCTTGGAGGTAATAGAGTTACTAGAATGTACAGAACTGGGAAGGTCTGGGGCAGGGGAAGAGAAAGTGACTTGGTCAGACCTTCAGTTTTATAAACACTTATAAAACAAATAATGTTGAAAAGGAAGGCATTAGCAGCTGATGGGACAAAGAAAGACCTACTGCAGAAGGTGGTGCTTTTAGAGTATCTTAAAGGAAAACAGGAATTCCTATAAAATGATGGGGGATGGAGAAAGTATATGAGCTCTGAGGTCCCTTCCAAGTTTCAAGCTATGATCCTGTCAGTGTTAGACGCTAGAGGTTAAGGTCAGTGTTAGACGCTAGAGGTTAAGGCCAAGGACTTTAAATGAGGAACAGAGAATTTGGTGAGGCCCCAGAGAAAGTTTTTCAGAGGCATTAGACGTTTGGTTAAAGAAATTGATTTTTTAAAATAAAGAGATGAGAAAGCCAAGATGGCACACTAAATCTTTAAAGTGCATGCAGAACAATTGTACAGCAAGTGATCTCTGCTTTCTTTGCAGACAGAATTGAATAGGACTGAGCTGTAGAAGGAAGGATTCAGGTTAAGTAATCATCTTGATTATGTCCTGTCTGTACTTTGACCACTAGGTTTGCCCATGTCTAGACCATCTCCACTCCTGTTCTCTATCCACACCAGCCCCACTGCCATCTAATGATCAAGAGAAAATCCTTCTTTCTCCAGAGGACAGATGTCATGCTAAAAGTACAACCAATCACTAGAAGCAAAGACAGCAAAGTGAACGGATGGACAGTGCTTGGGGGCAGCTGATTTATATTTTTATATACAAGATTGAGTGATGTAGTTAAACCTGAGACAGCAAGTCAATAGGGTCAATGGGGACATTTAAAGCTTGTGCTAAAAGGTTGTGGTCAGTCCTGCACACTGGGAAATAGGCTTATGTCACAAGAGATTGGATGAATATTGAAATTCCTGAATTCTGTAGAGTAATGTGCCTCATTTGATAGGTTGTACCAAATGTATATTGGACTAGATTAGACCTGAGGAGAGATTGGCAGGAGAGATACTGGTCCAGAGAAGAACGCTCAAAAAATGAGATGGAAAATAGTTAGATGCCCAGCCCCTCCCCCCATTCCACCATGTAATATATTTAACAGTACCAAGTACCAAGCACATACTGGGCACTCCTAGAATAAGACGATTAGGTGGGACTCTCTCAAGTCTGATTGACTACATTAATTTTCCTGGCTCCCTTTGAGGGAACAAAAGTTTCAGTTTTTGAAGGCTTAAAAAAAAGGAAGGAAAAGAAAACCTTTTATTGTTTCTTTTTCATTAATTCAAGGAGGATTCCGAATCTTCAAAGTGCCATTTGTGTCTCACTCGGAGGGAAATTACAGCTTTAAAACTAACCTGAAATGCCTGTCTTAATAATAACTGTGGCTTTCTTTATTAGGTAATTAAAAGTGACATATTTTTAACTGAGGCTGGTCTCACAGTCTTTGATGCCTCTTCATACTAATTTCAATGTACTGGAACTCTAAGGAAAACTCACACTAAACTTTGACATACTTTGGCTTTGCTACTATAGCCTGGGTCCTATTTTATTGCCTCAAGGAAACTGATTAAACACATTTATAAGGAAAATGGGCCATTTGTGGTCACTGTCTGGAGGGAGAAATCCAACATTCAGTGTAGTCTGAAAAAGACCTTGTCCATTGGTAGGCCATGGGGGGGGGGGCCTGTGGACACACTGGGCCTGGGAGGTAGGTCCCAACGATGAAATAGGACCAAGCAAACCATTCAGGGAAGTAAGGTGAATATGAGACCAGTATATGAGAAGGAAGTAGTTCATTCTTAGAGGTTTTATGATCATAGATGGAAAGCTAGAAACAACCTCAGGGAGTTTCTCGTTTTACGGATAAGTAAACCGAGCCTAGTAAAATAAAGTAATTTGCCCCAAGGAAATACTGATAGAAAATGTCAGAACCAGAATTCATTTTTGTCTTTAACTAAAGATGAAGAGTGAGAGAATGTGAAAGATAGTTATTAACGATAGTAATCCTTCCATCATAATATTTTTGAATGTATTCTTTCCTCTCCAATCTCAGCACTGCTATCTTAAAATTAATAATTCCTTATTTTTTCTAGTTCTTTATGGTATGCAAAATGCTTTTCATTCACTGTCTCATGTGATCCTCACAACAACTGTGAAAGTAGGTGGTAGGGATTATTTTTCATATTTTCTTAAGGAAATAAGGAATTATTAAATGCCTGCTAGCTACCAGGTACTGTACTAGACATTAGAAACCCAAAACCAAAAATAAAACAATGCCTGCCCTCAAGGAGCTAACAATCTATTGGGAGAGACAACATGTAGGTAACATCATAATTCACGAAGACAAGCGTTCTCAGATACCTGCATTATTGTTCTAGTCTCTTCACTAACCTCTGTCCCTCTTGTCTTTCCCACAGCAGGTCAACGTACTAACTCTTGTGAGGCTATGTCTCTAAATCACTACTTTTATAGACTTCTTGAACCTTTCAAGGCTCCCCTTTACTGATAGGATCAAGTCTAAACTCTGTCATTTAAGGCCTTTTATTAACTTATCCAATCATATAGCTGCTACTGCTACAAAGATAGCCAGAACAACTGCTGTTGGTGTCTTCAATACTGGCCATTTCTGGGGCTAGGAAGTTGCTTTTAATAAAACGCTTTCTGTGAACCTAACTCTTGCTGGGTGTTGTGGGACATGAAAAAGAAGAGGACATGCTTCTTGTCCTGAAGAGTTTATAATCTGTTTGGGGAAGTTAGTAATATATGCATAAAACAATACGCAAGAATTTAAGACTTTCTAAAAATAAATGTTAAGCAGTGTGATGGCAAGTAACAAGTGGTGGTGATGATGGGAATTGGTAGGAAAGCCTTCATGAAGGAGGTGGAATTTCAGCTTGCTGTGGAAGGAAGTATAGCATCTGGCATGGCAGACATGGGGAAGGACATCCCAAGCTGACAGAATCATCATATTGGCAGAAATGAACTCAGACTTAACCGGGACAGAAAAAGCACTGGATTTACTTAAGTGGAGAGTCCATGTTTAGGAATAGTGAAGCTACTTGATTGGATAAACTCTATTGAGAAGCCAATAAGACAATGATAAAAGGTATCTGGCTGAGTTTATCTATAAAGAAAGATAGAAGTAATTTATCATATCAAAACTGTCTTTAGACTAAAAGCCATAATATACAACATCTTCTGTGTTTTAACCAAACAAACTGAAATTAAAACGTAATTAATAGATTAGTCTGATCTAGTTAATTATCTTAAAGTCAGGCAGATGTAATTTATATAACTTTTTTTAATGGCAACTAGGAGGAGGGGCCGGAACTTTACTTCGAAGTGCTATAGATAGCCAATATCCCAAGAGTAGGTTTTCCTATCCATGGGCCCTCGTGGCAATCTGCTGACAGTACAAACATTCCCTTGTTTGCCATGGGCCGCAATTCCTAATATAAGTCTCATCCCTATGATGCCTGCAGCTCTTTAGAAATCTGCCTCTCCCTCCAATGCTCCCTTATTCTTTACCTATCACCTCCTGCTTTTCAGTTCCCACTGGCCAATTTGCTTCCAAGGGGTTAAAGGATTAGCTGTAAAAACTCAAGTTAGACTCTCTGTCCTTGTGTGACTCCACCTAAGGGGGCAGGCAGATTGCTCCCTGCCACCTTCAACTGAATTTGTCCCAGGCCATCACTAGGATTCCCAGTTAAGATGTTAGTTCTTGTATTTCCTTATGTTTAGTGGCTACCATCTTTAGTCATTCGATCAATGTACCATATGTGTTTATATGAAAACACATTATCCAAGCTAAGGTAAGGGAACATGACTATGGACAAACAGCAGGCAATCTCAAATACCTTTCTTTTAGACTTCGAAGTGCATCATCTGATGTTTCAATTTGAAGGTCTCCCCATCTTGATCCTTCTTCCTGTGGAACCCATATGAGAAGACATGAAGTGGCTTGGGCTACTCTGTGGGAATTCTCTGTTGTCACAAAGCTAAGAGACAGGCCAGAGCTTCAGTTGTTTTCTTTTCCGTCAGCTTTACCTGCAGTTGTCTGGTTGAAGTCTACAGCAAAGAAAGGAAGGGCAGTATCCTTATGTCATTCCCTTCCTTTCTGTTTAAATGCATAAGCAATGATCACTTTTGCACTCCCAAGACATGAGTTTGCCAGAGACAGAAATGCATTCACAGACTGTCTGCTGAGCCAGAGGGTCTGCTCTGATATTCAGAATGTCACCAACTCCTGCCCTTTGAAGCAGCATACAGTAAGAAGGTGGAACAAAACTTCCTTTTCCAACCTGATGATTTAAATCTATTGATTGTGCTGTGCCCATAAAGAACATGTCCACTGAGATATGTGACACAGAGGGACAGACCCTCACAGATTTTTTGAAAATAGCATGTCTCAGATGACCAACTTCACTTTAACATGGGAAGTTGTCCTCTCCTCTCTTTCCCTTCCCCTTTCCTAATCCCTCTGCCCAGGCTTTTTTAAACGGGCATCTTTCATTTATGGAAATGGTTTACTGGGGAATAATATAGATTACTTGAACTAGAATTTTCTTAATGAAAGTAAGTTCCAAGGACAATATGCATAATTGTTTTGAACAATGTCTCCCAGTATTTTACATGTTCTCCTGGACTAGAAAAAGAAAAAAAAATGCAATAACTTTGTTTCAATTTCTGACAGCCTGGAATATTAGAAATCTTGGCTAATAGCTTTTTTCTTTGTATGTGTCTTTGTGTGTCTGTGTGTGCATTTCAGGATGGAATGGGAAACTTGAGAATCACAGAAAAAGGTCTAAGGTTAGAAGGAGACTCAGAATTCTTGCAACCTCTCTACGCCAAAGAAATCCAGTCCAGACCAGTAAGTTTCTGATCAGAGAAGAGAGAATGATTTTACATCTGTAGTTTGAGTCTGAGAAATGATGTGTGTTGCCATGGCATCCTGCAAACTTGGAACAGCAGGAGGGTCCTGTGAACAGAGATTGGGGCTGGGTAGCAGGAAACATGGGATCTGTCATGGACACAGACTAGCTATGAGGCCCTTGGGAAGTCATTTAAACTCCCTGAGACTCTGTTTTGTCATTGTCAAATGGAAATAATTATACCTGCCTGCCTTTTCAGCAATGGACTGAAAATAAAATGAGATAATAGAGGAGGAAATTCCAGAAATGCTATTCAATTATAAGTCGATGTTAGAAAACTAGCAAGATCCAATGGAAAAGGGAATTTGATTTGGAGTTGAAGGCTCTACATTTAAATCCTGCCTCTGCCAACTACAACTAACTGTGTGACCTTGGGCAAGTTATGTAACCTCCCTACACTTAGTTTGCTTAAAAGTTAGACTTAGATGGTCTCTAACATCCTTTCTAGGTCGAAATCTTTGACCCAATTTTTTTTTATTCTTATGGATTATCATTGGCAAGAGAGAGAGCAAAGGTAGGTTTAGAAATGAAAAATTAGAATTTCCTACTATATGATTCAGGCTTCTATGATTGTGATAGGTCATTTAGAAAGCAGTTATGCTACCAACCAGTATTTAAGTTTCAAATGGGATCTACACACACACACACACACACACACACACACACAGATGCACACTTTCATACAAATTTAACATATTTACCCAATCTTTTTATCATTTTTCGACGTGGATATTGAATTTTGTGACCCTTTTGCCTTTATTAGTGGATAATATTGCCATCACCTTGGGCAATAAGGGAGAAAAGGCTTATTATTCTTATTGTTCCACTTCTCAAATATGCAAGTCTCCTTACATGCAGAAAATAAATGAAAGCTTCTTTTAAATGTCAGATCACATTATGCTAGTCCCCAATGGAAAAACCAAGACCAGTGAGTAGGTGTTATGGAGGAATAGATTTGTGCTCAGTATAAGAAATTCTGTCCTAATAATTTGTCCTAAATTATGAAAGCGTTAGCTCTCCATTCACTGAAACACATTCAGATATTAGGGATATTGTAGAGAAGATTCTTTCATTGAGTGGAAAACTGGACTAGGTGATCCCTACAGCCCCTTCCAATTATATGGTGCTATGAGTCGTAAATTTCTAAAACAAAGAAACTGACATAAAAAAATGAAATTCAGCCACCCGATACTGTATACAATTTAACCTTAACAAAATTCAAGCTAATGAGTTGCATTTGAACTGTGAAATTTTGTGATTGCCAATAAATGTTATTTCAGATCTATCTGAAATAAATTTTTATTAAATACAGATTTTTAATTAAAGATAGATAGATAGATAGATAGATAGATAGATAGATAGATAGATAGATAGATAGATAAACAGCAAATCAGATCATTGTATAAGAAGGTATTGAGTACCTTCAGGCTTCAGAAAACTGGTTTATGCAGTAAGTTGCTAGGTAACAAGTAAACTAGTATTAGGTAGCTAGTATAAATTTCCCTGCAAAACTTGGGGAGAGGTGTTGTTGTACAAGATAATCAGTAAATCTTCTTCCAGTAGAATAGTTTATTAATTTATTCTCTACTTTTGAGGACTTTATACTACAGAGGAGTCATGGTAAAGAAAAACTTTGAATGACAAGACCTAGAATTGAATCCTTTTTCCGCCGTTGACTAGCCATTTGACCTAGGACAAGTCATTTAATCTGTCCAGAGCTCGTTTTCCTTATGTAGAAAGAAGAGATTGCACTGGATGAACTTGAAGGCCCTTTCCAACTCTTCCGTGATCAAATAATAATAGGAGGCATGAAATGGGCAAAAAATGAACTTTGGTTATATTCATTTAATCTGGGTTCCACACTATGTAAATCCTGTTAATGCTGTCTGGCCCCAAACTGGTTGAAATTCTTGAAGAAGGAACTTTTCAAGCATTGTTTTCAAGTGTTTTCAAGCGTTGGGGTATAAGCACTTCCAAATACTGAGCAAAAACCTGTTTGTCTCTTCCTACCAATTGATGTGTAAATTACAAGTGATCCTTAAGTATTTCTTCCCAGTGTAACAAGGATGATCAGCAACACATTGTTAAGCCTTTAGCTGCAATTACTCTGACCATTTCAAAATACTAATGTTGTAAGTATTTTTTTTTTAATTTCTAATTCTGGCTTTCAATAGTCCAGACTGGTCTTTTTCTCATTAGTACAAATTAGAAAATTCTGTGCAAATAAATAGCCATATGTTAGGGATCTGTGAGCAGGGTTTATTCTGATAAGAGTTGGAGTTAATTGTAGGAAGCATTCTAGAAGAGGGGATCTGGATTTAAATTCAAAGGAAAACAGAAATATTGGTTTGACCACAGGAAGAAGAAAACTGTTACATATGTTGAGTCCTTTGAATAAAACATGATCCATTTACAAATTGGCTAGTCCTTCTAAAATTAAGCAGATGAGCTACAGCCAGCTCAAATAATTACTTGATTAGGGATATATTAAAAAAAAATTAAATTCAAAAAAGGAGAAAAAGTGAGTTTAAAAGCAATGAACAGTTTTTGAGCTAAAGGATTTATTTTTTATTTCATGGTTTTCTGTAATTCATTTCCAAATTAATAAAGCACATTTCCTGTTTAATATTATTTTTGAGTTTCAAATTAGGTTTTTTTCTATACTTGGGAGGAAGGAAAACACACATTTGTTAAGTGCCTACCTATTTCAGGCACTGTGTTAAGCACTTTACAAACATAATTTCATTTGATTCTCACATGAAACCTGTGATGTAGATGCTATTATGACTCAAATTTTACATATGAAGAAACTGAGGCAAAAAGAGATTAAGTGACTTGCCCAGGGTTGTGCAGATATGAAGTGTCTGAGGCTGAATTCTAACTCAGATTTTCCTGAGTCCAGGCCCAGTGACCTATCCACTGCATTACCTAGCTGCCTCTAGGAATATTCTGCCTGTCAGTTTACAAATGGGCCAGACCATTTACAAATGGGCCAGACTGTTTACAAATGGGCCACTTGGGTACTATGCCTTGATGCTGTTCAGAGACTGAGTACAGACTGGGGTGATATTTCAAACTTTGCCACGATGAAGAAGACTGAATATACACAGGAGATAAAAGAATAAGACTATTAAAGTATTACTAATAGTCTGATCTTGATTCTACCCTCCAATCTCCAAACTGGAAATGAGTTATCCTCCTCCCCCTTGGAATTCACAAAGAATTTTCAATCTCAATCTCCCCATGTTGTTATGTTATATGCATGTCGTAGTTTTCTCAGATGTTAAGCTCCGTCAGGACCAGAAGGAAATATTGTATTTGCCCCCATATCTCTCTCACTACCTAACACAGTATTATTCCAATTGTTCTTAGTAATTTTGTGTTGGGTATTGAGTATTTAAGGCCATAGTTAGTAGTTGTTATTTGGATACATGACAAGATATAAAAAGTCACACCATAAACAAATTAAAAGAGCAAGGAAGTAAATACCATTTGAATCTATGGGTAGGGGAAGAATTTGTGACCAAACAAGGGATAGAGAAGATCACAAAAGGTATGAGACAATTTTGATTAAGTAAAATTAAAAAGATTTTTTTTTCCTTTTTGGTGAAGCACTGGGGGTTAAGTGACTTGCCCAGGGTCACACGGCTAGTAAGTGTCAAGTGTCCGAGGCCAAATTTGAACTCGGGTCCTCCTGACTCCAAAGCCAGAGCTCTGTCTACTATGCCACCTACCTGCCCCAAAAAGATTTATTTTGCAGAAACAAAGCCAATGCAGCTAAAATAAGAGGAGAAATATTTAACTAGGAAAATTTTTTAGAGCAAATCTCTTTGATAAAGATTTCATTTCTAAGCTGCATAAGGAAATGATTCATCTTTATAAAAATAAAAACCATTCTTTAATTGAGAAATGGTCACAGAATATGAATAGGCAGTTTTCAGAGGAATAAATCCAGGCTACTAATAACTATGAAAAATGCTCCAAGTCACTAATTATTAGAGAAATTCAAATTAAAGCAAATCTGATATGCCATCTCACCCCCATAAGACTGACAAAGATGATCCCCCCCAAAAAAAAGAAAGGAAACTGACAGGAATTAGCATTTGATCTGGAGCCAAAATGGCATGGCAGAGGCAGCAAATGTAGATTTTGTCAACAAAATAATTTAGTATAGTTAGGGAATGGAATTTAGGGGGCCTAGAAATAGGATGTTCTGTTTGGGTCTAGGTGTGCTGAATCCTTGTCAAAGGTGACAGAAAGAGCACAAAATAAATGAATTTTGGCAGTAAGGCAGTGGAAAAAAAAAAACAAATAGCCAAGCAAACTGATTCCCCTCAGGTTTGAGATCAGTGGAAAACCTCTGCAATTTCTACTCCAACTCCTCCCTTGCCATAGCTTTCTTATCATAACAGTTCTAGCTTCCCTAGATTGATAAGAGACTTTTTTCCATTGCTCTTCAGAAGGAAGGCATCTCTTATCTCACTTCCTTCTATAGAGAAGTGGTGTATATTTGCATTAACATACACCCCCCTTCCATTTGATGGTGGGTAAGTAATTAAACAACATTTAATGTCTCTGTAACTGTACATTTCAGTAGTCCTCCTGGAATTGGACCAGTAGAATAATCAACAAAAAGTTCAGGACGATATCCGATTTCATTATTGAAGGTTGTAACCTAGTAAAGCCACTACAAATTGATTTGTGTGATAGCAATCACTTAGGAAGAAAAGTTAATGAGAAAATGTTCATATCTATAAACGTTTTCATCTTAGAATTAAATGAAAGCCTCAGGCCCTTCTAACTTCAGCTGCATTGAAGTGCAGAACATGTGTGTGGAAAAGCCCAGAATGATACTATTCAGGAAATAGCATGGGAGGGTGAAGGCTAAATAAACCATCTCACCATGATCTGTTCCTAGAAATACCACTGGAATGCAGTT